CTTTTGACCATCTGTATAACTATGAAACTGAAACCAAAACCTAAAAGGAAATTTTCATATGAAATATATTTCTATTACACCTCAAATTCCCTTGTGCTTTTTTTCCTTGAAGCAACCACTTTTGGATTTCTGTCACCTAGTATACTTTATATAAATGGAATGATTCACAAAGTAGTCTTTTGTGTCTGGCTGTATTCACTCAACGTAATGTTTTTAGATTTGTTTGTTTTGAAAGGTATACGGAAGAATTTATTCAGCTTTGTGAGGATTTACTTTCACAATGGTATAAACCCTTGGCATAGAAGACCTTCTTAAAACTTCATAAACTGCTTTAATTAGTTAAATATCTAGGCTGATATCACGAAGCTGTCAGACATTGTTAGAAAAAGTTAATGGTGGCCAGGATTTGTAAACATAACCATATAATGGTAAAATAAACCAAAGGACAAGACTTTTTAATACCCCTCAAAACATAATAAAGTACAATTTTTCATCAAACATTTATTCCCAGGCTATATCCATGTGGATCTATGAATTTATTTTCCATTTTACACTTTCTGACATCTTCTCTGAATATAGATTACAAATAGTCTTTTGCATTCTCTCCCCAGTCTCAACATCCCAAGTCACCTGCCTTACCTTGTTATACAGTTATCTTTTAGAGAAGATACACTTACATAGCATGTTATACTTGAAAGTGAAAAAATCTTAGAGGATTAAAAAGAAGTAATACAATAATTCTTTCACTGATCTTAATATAACTTCCAAAAGAACATTTCCCTAAAACAGCAATTCTGCCTAATAAAATTCTTTCCAAGTCTAAACACACTGAAAACAAGTGAAATTATGAAAAACTTATGATAGGTTACCAGATATTGTGTGCTTTTAACCATTCAACACTGGCAATACTTGATAAACAATTAGGTAAGCTTCTTGAAGAAGCAAACCTAGACACATAAATTAGAAGATACTGGTATCCATCTAAATTTTCTTTCATTTTTTTACAGACCATTTTATTAAATAAAGTTGTTGAAGGTACACTTTATTTTTTGTCACTTTAGAGGACCTTTACTGTAAAGACAATTCTTTTATCTGATGACAACAGCAGCAGCCAAATTGCTAGTGATTATTCCAGACCTCCCTGTAGGATACATTCAGTTTCTTCTCGAGATGCAAGTTTCCACCTGAGTTTCTGAGGCAATGTTTTTATAAATCCTGCAGTGTCTTATGAACCCTGCTACATCAACAAGTCTGGTAATTTACTCCTTTAGAATGTGAAATTGCAGAAGAGAGAGATGTATTCCTGCTGATCTCAAAGCTTCTGATATATTGGATTTAGGATTGTCTCTTCCACCAGACAACACTACCTTTAGCTTTATGGGGAGTCTCAAAATCAGTTAAGTTCTCTAAACTTCCGTCTTCTTTTCTAAAGTTGATTTTTACAATTCTAGATACCTTGCATTTCCATAGAAATTTTGAAACCAGCTTGTCAATTCCTTATTTAAAAAACAGGTGGAATTTTTATTGGGATTGCTTTGAATCTATGGATGAATTTGGAAAGAATGACTATCTTAACATTATTGAGACTTGCAATCCATGAACATGCATATTTCTCCACCTACTTAGGTTTTCTTTTATTTCTCTCAGCAACACTGTTACCTTCAGAGGACAGGTCTTGCACATCATGTCTTAGAATCATTCCAAGGCACCTGAGAATAACTACAGTTTTTACTACTTTTCCAATTTTTGTTTTCTATTTCTTTTATTTGCTTTATTGTACTGGTTAGGAATTCCAGTAAAATACTGAATAGAAGTAATGACAGTGGATCTCCCCATTGCCTGTTCTCAGTGTTAGAAAGAAATTGTCCATTGTTTCACCACTTAGCATGACTTTAACTGTAGGTTTTTGGGAGATGACTTTTATCAAATTGAGGTATTTCCCAGATATCTGGTATTGCAAGGATTTTTATCATGAATGGAAGTTGAAATGAGCATATATCTAGATTGATCATATGGTTTTTCTCATTTATTTTGGTAATACAGTAAATAACATTGGTTGATATTTTTAACACATTTGTTGAGATATTTGAACATGATTTGTTCATGTACCATAAAATTCACCCTTTAAGTGTTCAATTTAGTACTTTTAGTATATCTGCAAAGTTGTGCAGCTCCAATTCCAGAACACTTTAATTGCTTCAAAAAGAAAAAACAAAACAAAAAAACAAAAAAACCTCTACTCATCAGCACTCTCACACTCTCCTCCCCGACCAGAAACCACTAATCTACAATCTGTCACATTCTGTTTATCCATTCATCAGTTGGTGGATATTTGTTTCCACTTTGGAGCTATCATGAATAATGCTGCTATAAACATTTGTGCACAAGTTTTTGTGTGGTCATCATTTCAAGTCTCATGGGTATATACCTAGGAGTGGAACTGCTGGTTTATTAGATAACTCTAGGTTTAATTTTTTTTTTCTTTATTGCTTCTATAAGCAGAAGACACTGAATTTTGTATCTTTATTTTCTACTTGTTCTTCCTAAATTCATAATTCTGAGAATTTAGTAGTTTATCTCCTTGGATTTTCTAGGTCTACATCATACCGCAAAGATATTGGTGCTTTCTTGTCTGTTCCTTTCTTTTCAGAAATTATACGTCGTTTCGATTCCACATTCATTATATTGGTTTAAATATTCAGAAGAGTTTCAAATAGTCGTAGTGGTACTCTGATAGGTTTAATTTTTTTAAGGAAGTGGCCAACTGTTTTCCAAAGTGGCTATACCATGTTCCATTCCCACCAGCAATATATGAAGGCTACATATATTCCTAACACTTGCTGTTGTTCATTTTTTTTATTATACCCATCTTGGTGGATGTGAAGTGATATCTAATTGTAGTTTTGATTTGCATTGCCCTAAAGACTAATGATGCTGAGCATTTTTCATGTACTAAGTGGCTATTTATATACCTTTGCAGAAATGTCTAGGGGCACCTGGGTGGCTTAGTCGGTTAAGCATCTGACTCTGCACTGACCACACAGAGCCTGCTGGGATTCTCTCTCTCTCTCTCTCTCTCTCTCTCTCTCTCTCTCTCTCTCTCT